ACAATAAAAAGTAACGGAGAAGTCGTAGCTTTAACGTCTGTCTCAGTGGGAGAAAGAGGACGGATATTTTCTGTGTCTGCTCGGGACAATAGTGGACTGGAAAGAAAGATGGAAGTTCACCTTGTCCACAGTACCATCTTGAAAAGACATGTAAGGCAACTGCATATTTTGAGTCATTTATACAGCTCAGCAGGAACAGTGCATCTTTTTTCTAACATGTCCAAACTTGTTGGAATGTCACAGCGACGAGGCCAAGGCTCCCTGAACCGCTCTAGAAGACGAAGCTATGCGGATTTAGATGTAGTGGAGAACTATGAAGGGAGCTATCCAAAACATATTGACAGGGTGAATTGAATGTTTAATTTTTATCATTTATGATCACTGTGGTATACAAATGTTTATTGTCAATACACATCAGATTGTAAAGATTGTAAACACCTCATGAATAACAATCTTTTTTTTTTCTTTTCCTTCACATGTATCATTTTATTTGGTTTTTACTGTAGCTGGGGTCAGGTTCCTACGGCAGCCGTTATTGGTACTTTATCGAAGGAGAAGGAGTCGATACGTATCCAACTGGAGTGTTCAGTATGGACACAGACACGGGGGATCTGTTCTTGCTCAAAAAAGTGGATCGTGAGGAGTTCAAAAAATATGATGTGAGTGTGAAGATGACGCTGATTTAGAAGATTTGTAATGAGTTCCAATAATGTTCCACAGTCATCTTTAACGGGTGATTTATCAATCATTCAAATAGCTACAGAGTGTTTTTTCCTCTACTGAGCATGTTTGTTTATTTCTTTTTTTTTATTTATTTATTTTTTCATTCAAGCCTGGAACTGGCACAGTTCACATATGGAGTCTTGTTATATCCCTGCCTCTCCCTTCTATATTTGTGTGCATTAACCTAGTCAAACATTTGTTTGTTTTCCCTCTATAGATTTTGATGATATATTTTGACAAGTATACTAATGTGGAGCTAGATGAGAAAATACCCCTGACAGTGATTGTATATGATGTCAATGACAATGCCCCGGAGTTCGTAGGTCCTTTACATTTTACAGTTCCTGAGCACTGTAGTGCAGGTGAGAAAGACAACATACAGTAATAGATGATTCTGTGGTATTTGACTTTCAGTGCAGTTGCTCTAAATGATTATGGGTTACAATACAGGGACTGTGGTGGGAGTGGTGAGTGCAACTGACAGAGACCAAATTGGCACCGACCATGTGAAGATTAA